AGACTAATAAAGCACGACATATGTATTTCATTAAATTTATTTTTAGATGAAATTAAAAAAAAATTATATATTTCGGGTAGTACCCGAATTACCCAAACCTGACCTGATACCCTAATTACCCAAAGCCGAATTATCCGAATTTAGTTTGGGTAGGGTAACGGGTAATTTTTTTAACATGAAAAACCCAAATTACCTGACCCGAATTACCCGAAACCCAAAAAAATTACCCGTTCAATACCCCTACATGGTTTTATGGGGTCACTTAATACGTTATCGATCGCCCTTAACACTACTCCGGATTAGGGTCAGATGTTTTTCAGTCGTCCAATTTCTAGGACATCCAATGTCACAACTAGAAATTTTGTGCCTTGTAACTACAACACATAAGTCGGATTATGAATCCAAAAACATAAGGGCATGTATGATGCTTACTCTGTGACAACAAAATTGTAATCAAATACACCATACAAGCATTACAAATAGTCAACAAGCAATTGGAAACCCTAGAAGTTCTTATTTAGGTCCATTTTGGACTAGAACTTCCTTATTGGGCCTAATGGACCAATAAACTTCCAATTTGACTATCTTGGGTTTAGAACTCTTAAATGGGCTCTAATTGGACCCACTTTCATTTATTTCAACATATTGGGCCATATTGGGCCTAGAATGAAATAAATCAAATATTATGAACTATTTTAGACCATAATTAACCTAATTTAGCCTTAATAGCTCATAAAAATCACATTTATAATTAATTGGGGCCAAACATCACTTAACATAACCATGAAATGGGCTTAAGCATACAAGGCCCAATACTCATCTTTTTCTCTCCAAATCTCGGCCCAAGCCCAACCAAAGAAAGAGAGTTGACTTTCCTATGCGACCTCATAATTATCCATAGGACTCCCATGCACCATCTCATGTTTTCATGCAAATCAATTCAAGAACCACACTCCTCTCCTCTCTCTTCTTTCTCTCGGCCGAACACAACACACACACACCCACAAAAATTCATTTCATTCTCTCTAAGCCTTGAAGGACATCTCCTTCCTCCTTCTTCAAAAATTTCGAGAATCAAGAGCTTTTCAAGGAGGTTTTTCCCACAAACACATCATCTAAGGTAAGTTGATGACTAATCCATGATCTAGCTACTTCATTTCATCAAAAATCTCTTCTAAATCTATTCCAACTTGTGATCATGCACCTTAGAAGTCACTAAACTCGAGATCTACCAAGGAGACTTGCTAGGATCGAAATTTTCTTCTTTTCTCCCCTCAAAACCGAAACTACAACTCAAGGTGAGCTTCATACCCCCTTATTTTCGGTTTTTATAAGTTTTTGTGGGGGAGAATACAAGTAAAGGTGTAGATCCATCATTATGTGTATGTTTTGGTTGATTTCTATGCTTATATGTATGTTTTGTATGATTTTGATGCTAGATCTAGTTATGAATTGCTAAAAACCGAGATATATCTTATACTAGCATGAAATATACTACTACATACAAAGTATACCAAGAAAAATAGCTAAGTGGCTTAATAATACATACTTTGGGCTAAAAACTCATTTTTTCGACATAAATGTTAAAAATACAAAGTTAAAGGGCCCAAAATGAAATATTTCGAAATCTGATGGGTGAGATGAGTGAAAACAGATTCCATAATGTATTTTCTGAAAATATACTCTTTTAGAAGATCAAAAACATAAATTTCAAGCTTAATGGGCTAAAAATGACAATTTCGGCCCAATAGGGCCCATTATGCGAAATTTTCTGTTTTGGAGGGCCAAAACTGTGTTTTCCTATAAAACAGTGGACTATTAGTGTTACATGTACTTTTCAAAGGTTTAAAACGCTTTTCAAATTTAAAAAGGACCAAAGTTGCAAAAATTTTCCAAATTGGGCCAAAAATGTAAAAATTGCAAAAAAGAGGGGTTATAACCGAGAAAACTGAAATTTCAGGGACTTAAACTGTTCTAAATGAAAAATATGCTGAAAAATATTAATTTCAATAATTTTTGGTGTTAAAATGTCAAGAAAAATGGTTTAAGGACTAAACCGGAAATTATTTTACCTAAAAGGGTGAAAAAGTAAATTTAGAAAATTAAGAGGGGTTGTAAACAGAAAATTTTCAAGGGTAATTCAATACACTCTTTGTGAACAAAGATTGACACTACGACTCTCGATAAATTACAATACACAATATCACCAACAATCGTTATCAAACGAATTGATTCGGTCTCGAATCAATAACAAATCCAAAACTACTAACACTATAACGCTCAATACACATATGAAACTCTTGGAACTCTTTACTCCCGTGGAATTACTCAATACGTCGACGTACACTCCTTAGGCCCAAAAGTTGCAAATCATGCTTGTCGAGCCTAGCTAGCCCGATGACATGATCTTTAGGCCCAAAGGACACTTGCTTACATGTAGTTGGGTCTAATGTGACTCGACCGCGTGTAAAAGGACTTTCAATGGCAAACATGCTGCTGGTCCCCAAGGGTCCTTCAGTGCTGCTAGTAAAGTCGGTAACTCATGATTGCGGGTTGGGCTCGGGCCCTTTGCAATTGCAATGGTCTTGAACGACGCAGGGAAATACCGAGGGTTTCACACCTTCACTTTTTCTCTCCGGTCGTGGGACTACACAAGTCCGGGAGGATTGAGTTGTGTGAATAAGTGCGAGTGACGCCTAAGGGATCACTAGCACGGTTGCCAATTGGACGTTTTCATTAATGTACGATACAACAATTCACTACCCTCTGTATACTCAATGCCTCCGGAGCTCAACGAATACCTCTAACGTAACGAAATAACAGTACCCAAAATAACTAAAGCAAAGTGATAGGAAAACGTCGGGTTTTCCTAGGGTTTTCAACAAGTACACTTACGAACTACATGTCGAATTTCACAACTCTTACGCTTACATCTATAGAATTCAAACAAGCATACTCACGGATCTTCACATATTTTCGCGTTATTCTATTTTCAGAAAATATCGGATTTTCTGGTGATTTTTTTTTAAAACATTACAAACATTGGATTTCAAACATTACTTATGAACTCACCAACATTTCATGTGTTGACGTTTTTTCAAAATACTTGTATTCTCAGGTAACAGATAAAGTGAAGGATGAATTGTACTCTATGACGTTTTGTTGTGGTTTAATTTAGTATCGAACAGTTACTTTTGAGAATGTAATGTTTTGGAACAATGTAATGGATGTAAACGCTACCAGCTGTATCATTCCAAATGTTGGTGATGTATAATGTTGTGTTTCATGTATATTCATTGTGATGGTATTCAATTGAGTCACGACAGCCCCCGGACATTTCCGCCGTCTGGTTCGGGGGTGTGACATCCAAATTCATCTGATGACCTTCTTCCCACTCTCAATGTATATACTCATATAGATGTTAGGCCCTATACTATCCCTCCGACTTATAAGCATAAGTATGCCTTAACTCATCAACAATTTTAGAACTTTTTACGTGAGGTTATAGGTCCCCCCGTTTCTTTGCTACTCATGCTGGTAAACCATCATCCTCCTAGTACTGTTGGTAATGAAAATTTCTCTTTTTTCTTTCCTTCTTGTTTGTTTTAGTATGTTTTTCAATTTGTATCTTGATGTTGTGATTATTCTTAATTTTTGTATTATCATACTCTCTATATTGTGTAGACGGTTGTGCTTTGTGTTTATTATTTCAAGAGGAATTGAACGAAGCTTGTCGCTCCATTGCTCGGAATGAAATCATTATTTCTACCGCGATTGCTGTGAAATCCAATTTCTTCGATCATTTTCTATATGTACATGATCATTCTCATGCTGCTGAAGTTAACTTATAGGCGGCTGAAGGTATGAAATTGGTTGGTGAAGAGATTATTCTCAAGGCCAGTTGGAAGCATGTTGAGTTATCTGATCGATATTGTTCCTCGTTTGATAAGGTTGTGATGTTGGAGAATCAGAGGTCGCTCTTAGAAGCTGACTATGAAGCGTACCATTTGGATAATGAAGTCCTTCACACTCAGCTTGCTGCTAAGTCCTTATATATATATATATATATATATATATATATATATATATATATATATATATATATATATATATCCTGTTTTGCAAATTGGTTATGCTCATTTTTTATGAACTACAAGCAGTATATCATAACTGCTTGTACCATTCCGTACCTTATTGTGGTCCTAAACCATATTAGGCCATGAGTTATTTATACAATAGAATTTAATTTTTTCATTGCACTTATCCCGAATTTTATATTTTATGGTGATGGCGATCGTATTGGCGTAAAATTTAGAATTTGAGTATTCTTGTCCTGTATGTAATGGTCGTGCAGGGTTAATGGCAAATACAATATTCCTAAGGGCCATATTGAATGCCCGGTAAAGCTTTTGAGGTGCACATCAGGTTGTTTAAGCTTTCTTGTTATTGCATTCGGCAATTTCGAGAAATAATGGTCATACATTATCTTAATTGAACTCCCATTATCACAGTATATTCGGTGTACACCTATGTCATGGATTTGTCCATATATTAAAGTCGGTTCATCAGCCGGTACTTAAGTTTATTGGTTTTTTGTATGTCACACATTCTGTGTAAACATGTTGTATTGTTTTTTTTTTTTTTTACTTTTTTGGAAAATGACTTGAGAGGGTAAGTTTCTTTTTGAAATGTACACATTTCGTCCTTATTTTTACTTTTATTTATTTTTTGTAAATTAAGCCCTTATATTCGATTTTTTGTAATTGCTAAATCCTTTTGACCTGGCATAGCCGGTATAGAATTAGGGCTCATTTCATCAGCCATTCCTCCATTCACTCAGTCGATAATTCCTCAAAGTTCTTGATTCACAATTACAATCAACAATGGTAGAAGATGCAGATACGATCGTTGATGTACACTATCAAGGGATGTTTACACCTACCATATTGATTTATTTTGATGGAGTAAAAGCCTAGGTACCCCAGACGGTTGTGAAGAAGATGAACTTCGGTGATTTCATCCCCTTTCTTGAAAAGCTTACAAACAGAAGATGTAGAGATGTGTATTACTATCCACATGAAGTAAGGTTGTCGGAGGGATTACATGCTATTCAAAATGACTGCGATTTTAACGAGTTTCTTGAAGATACGAATGAAAATAAGAGATTAGATGTGTATGTGGATCATCATCATGAATCTTTGTTTGATTGGATCCAGGAGTGAAGATGAAATTTTGGTTACTATTGATGATGTCGACTCCATTTTAGAAGATGGTCTGAAAGCTCAACATGTAGAGGACGATGAAGTTATATCTCTCAAAAGAAATTTCAATGATCCATTGCTCAACAAACTTTGTCCAATACAGAATGATGACTTGGTTGAAGAAGATCATAATGCAATACGACCTATCTACCCAAGACATGATCATACTCAAGAATGGAATCAGATGAAGCCTCGATTAGGTATGAAATACTCTACTATTGCTAAACTTAAATACTCTCTTAGTTGCTATGTAGTAGCAAATGGTTATGATCTGTGGTATAAAAAGAATGACAAGACTAGGTTGCTAGTTACGTGTTGTAAAGGAAAGAATCCTACATGCCCTTTTTGTTTGTATGCTTCCTGGATGAAAGAGGAACACACTTTTCAGATTAAGTCTCTTATAACAGAGCACAACTATTCTAGGGCATTCAAACTTGGTTCAATTGTAACATATAAGTGGATAGGAAAAGAATTTGTGAATGATGTTTTGGAGATTCCTAAACTAAGTTTGAGGAAAATGAAAGCCTTGGTATCTACGAGATACAACATTAATGTGAGTGTTGGGCAGTGTTGGAATGCAAAAAAGTTAGCATTATCTAAAGTTGAGAGATGTTTGAAAGAACAATATGCCAAATTGTGGGATTATGCAACTAAAATCAGAAGAGCTAATCTAGGTTCACATGTTGAGGTGTTCTTGGAGCCACAACCTGATAATACTGTGGTGTTTGATAGGTTTTATGTTATCTTTAAAGGTGTTGTAGATGTGTGGTTAGATGGATGCAGAAAGGTAATTGGGGTTGATGGTTGCTTTCTTAAGGGTGTTTGTAGAGGGGAGCTCCTATCAGCAGTGGGTAGAGATGCTAATAATAACATCTATCCCTTAGCTTGGGCAGTAGTCAATGTTGAGAACAAAATGACATGGAAATGGTTTTTGGAAAACCTGATGGAAGACATTGGAGGAGGGGGGTGGAGGAATGGTCATGGCATTACAATCCTCTCAGATGGCCACAAGGTAATCATTCTATTTTGTTCAATTAACTTTAACTGTTTGGTCATTTAATTAACTAATCATTTTATTGTTTGAATCAGGGATTATTTGAAGCTTTGAAGGAAAGACTTCCTAATGTGGAGCATAGATTATGTGCTAGACACATTCTAGCTGATTTCCACAAAAAATTTAAAGGAGAACAATACTTTAAACCATCTTGGAGGGCTGTGAATGCAATAACTATACCTAAGTTTGAAGCAACAATGAATGAGATTAAGTCCTTAGAAAGTAGGGCTTATGACTATCTCATAGAAAGGGATTCAAGGTGTTGGTCAAAGGCTTTTTTTAGAGAGGGTATAGATTTTGATGCAGTAGAGAACGGAGTTTCTGAAAGTTTCAATTCTATTGTACTTGATGCTAGAAGGAAACCATTGATAACAATGTTGGAGGACATAAGATGTTGGGCAATGCAGAGGTTATGGATGCAGAAGCAAAATGGTTTGAGTTGGGATTTGGACATATGCCCAAGTATTAGAAGGGAAATAGAGGATTTGAAAGAATTGTAAAGGTTAGTAACTATTTCATTATTTATACATAGGTTTTATAATGGTAACTGACTGTTTTCTTGTATATTGACAGATTTTGGGTACCTTATGTGAGTGGCTACAAAGAATTTGAAGTGTTCAAAGGAAATGAGAGGTATGCTATTGATCTGAATCAGAGGGCATGTGGATGCAGAAGCTGGCAACTCACAGGCATTCCATGTGTACATGCCATATCAACAATTTTATCATTGAACCTAGATGTGGAGGCTTTTGTATCCAACTCCTATCCTAAAGTCTCTTTCCTTAATAGGTATGAGTATAAAATCCATCCACTCAATGATAGTTGTGAGTGGCCACATGTTGAAGGACTGCATTCTATTTTGCCTCCATTAAAGAGGAGGTTACCTGGCAGGCCATATGTCAAAGGGAAAAGAGATCAGGCAGAAAGAGAGCTAAGTAGGCACACAAGGCATACTGTGTCAAGGGTAGACATTCCTCTAAGATGTACCATTTGCCACCAAACTAGCCACACCAAAGCCACATGCCTAAGTAAGCCAACTCCAGCTCCAACCACAGCATGTCCATGTCATTCAACTCCAGATTCAAGCACATCAGGGCCATGTCATGTGAAGAAGGCTCCTGTGAAAAAGGTGTCGGATAAGGTGTCTAAGTTCATACCTATTTCTGGTAAATACTTGACCCGACCTGGCATGGTCCATTTGGGTTGCATGGCACCATGCAATTGGATAAACTAAATGGGAGAAATAACACATATGCTTTATTAATATATTATAAGTTCTAATATATTAATAATATTATTTAATTAGTTTTGATCAAGAACTAATTTAGAATTAATTAAGTGATCAAAAGAATAACTAATTAAATATATGGGTAGATTATATGAATCTTCCATATCTTATATAGTGGGCTAAAAGGCTCCATGGATTATCAAGTTGGGTTCCACCCATAAGGTGCTCCATGGAGTTAACCCTGTTGGATATTAGCCATAAGAACATTCCTATGTGCACATTGATGAGATTAAACTAACCTTTAATCTATAAAGATCGATTAGATCTTGAACAAGTATATAAACGTAAACAATAAGAACGCAATAAAAAGAATAAGTCAAGATGGAATCAAACGTGTTGAATGATTAAACAGAATCCTCAGAAGAGCTCGATTAAGAACATCAACTGTAGAGGATTGGAAGGTTACAAGAACGATCAAAGAAACCTGTTATCGTCTAGATGTATCGCTATACTCAAATCTCTAAAAACCTTAACCTAATATGCATGCAAGCGTAAACTTATATACAAAACATAAAATGTTCACGGTTGGACAGGCCTAAACCGGAATACAAAAAGCCTTATGCTAAACGAGCCCAAAAGACGCAATCTTCAAAAATAATCTCTAGCCCAACAATCTCCCCCTTTGCATCAATTTGGAGCGAGACCTTCACTAGTTACTTGGGCCAGCAGCTGAAGCAGGTAGCTTCTTCTTCACGGTACTAAACAGACATTTGGTGATGGAAAGAATGGTCTGTCTAAACCGGATGTACCAGTTAATCATATCTTCAAAGTACTTGACGTCATCAGCCGAGTTCTCTTTACACCGTTTGATAATGAACAGCACATGCTCCAAACAGGTTGTGGTGTAAAGATGCTTGTCAGCTAAAGCGAAGAGACATTTCTGTCCTTCTGCTCTAGTGAACATAACCGAGTTGCGTCTCGGGTCGATCCTGCCCAGTAGCATTTGATTGAGATCACTGGCCGATCCCACAGGAGCAATTTTGGGTTTCTTCTTGAAGACTGTGGCGACCTCCTGATCCATTAGGGCAACCTCCATGATGTAGCAGGCTAACATCCTTTTGACATGGTCTAGAATGGGACCATATTCAGCTTCATTAGTCAAAAGGATATTATACAGGACAATCCAATCATGAGGATTTAGATTCGGTAGATCTGCCAGGGAGATAAGATGAGCAGTTCTTGCAGATCCCCGAATCAACTTGAACCGAACATTTATAAAACGTCCTTCAGTATAAGGTTTCAGCACCCGAACGTTTACAATCTTCTGGGCGCTCCAAGTAAGGAATTGTGGACGAGCAGCCGCCAGATAGAAGTCAATGAGCTCCCTGTCAAGCTCAGCGTTCGGGTGAGGGACTTCAAAGATGTTTGAGAAGACGTGGAAGATGAACGCCTTTCGAGTCAGCGGCATATCGAACTGCGAATCGACAGTGTTGTTGCAGTCGAACGATATAACCGGCTCGAGCCATAAGATGCTAGGAGTTTCAATGGCCTCTTTAATTAAACGTTCCCTGGTCCAGGCAGGGAAGAGAGTCTTTCGGCTCTCAAGGAGATCGTGGGCTTCTTTTTGTTTGCGTTCGGCTTCTGCAGCCTCTCGCGCCACACGACTGGCATCTTCATCAACCTTGCGACTGTTCTTTTGTTTTAAAATGTCAGCAATGGTCTCCTTGTCGCCTTCTTCATCTTCTTCCTCAGCTATGTTTTTGCCTTTGTCCTTCACACCCGAGCCAATAGCTTGATCAGTCTGAGATGGTTCGGTCGTGTGAGTAGCTTTGGAGGAAGGAGGTGGTTTTGATCCTGTCTTCTCATCTCCCCCTTGTTTCGGAATGGACACGAAACTTGGGAGCCCTTCTACTTTGTTAAGAAGATCGATGGTTGGAGAGAGTTTTTCAGCAAGGGAGCGCCTCACCGAAAAGTTTAAGATTGGATCGTGTGCTTCCAGAATGTTGGATATAGCAGCGTGGACATCTGAAACACACGTCTTGACCACCTCCCTTTCGGATCGAAGATCTTCCAGTTGTTGTTGGGATTGGGAGAGTTGAGTTTTCTTGACCTCAAGGGCAGTTGTTTTGGTTGCCAGATCGTCCATTAACGAACGCTCGGTTGCAAGATCCTCTTGTAGTTTGGCGAGGCGAGCATCAATGGAGGCACGAAGGGCCGAGTTGTCGTCGCTTATGTTCTGGCGGAGAGTAGCGAACGAAGGCAACTCCGATGAGACAAAATTGGCCAATTGTTGAACAATTGGTTCCAAAGATGTCTTGGTGGCATTGGCACTTTCCTGCATGGACTGCAGCAGGGTAGAAGCGTCAGAAAATAGTTTATCGACTTTTTCGGTCGCTGCCTCACAGGCTCTGGTAGAGGCTTCAATTGCAGCAGTTGCTGAGGCCGCCGAATCATGTTGAGCCCTGGAGAAGGCATCAACAATCTTCTGAAGGCCAGCTTCAGAAAGAGAGGACTGCTGGTTGGAAGAGGAGGCGAAAAGTAGGTCAATCTTCTCGTTGAGCTCTTTTAGATGCTTCTTTGTTACTGGAGCATCATCCTCCTCATCACTTTGAACTTGAAACAGACTATAGTAGACCGAATCAAAGATCATATTTTCTCCACCAAGATAAGGGTTTTCGCCCTCAGATGCATTTTCAGGAGATGAAGGGGGTGGTGAAGTTGGGGGTGTTGTGGGTTTGGAAGGATCAGGTTGAGTGGGTGTTGGTAGAATTTTGGTTGGTGGTTGAGTATGGGTAGTTTCAGTTGTTTGGGTTTTGGTTTGAGGTGGTTCGGTTACGTGTGGTGATTCGGTTGTAGTTGTAAAGATTGGAGGAGGGGAAGGAATTGGGGAAATCAGAAGTTTCATCTCTGGGGTAGGGGACCGAGGTGGTGTGTTTCCTCGTTGAGGAGATGCGTCTCCTTGAGAGTCGTCAGAACCCGAACTCTCACCCTCAGAGTCACTCGAAGAAGAGGGAATTACAAGCTTTCGCTTCGGTTGGGTCTTCCTCTTCTTCGGCGGTGGGGATTGTGCGGCTTTCGGTTGTTTCTGCTTTTTAGGAGAAGGTCCCTTTGGAGCTTTGGACATTTGCTTCCCTTTTTCTGCCTTTTTGCCCCTACTCACCGGTTTGTCTGCATCGTGAATTGACTTGAGCATATCCGGGGTTAGTTCCCTTGGACCAGATGGCCTTAGCTCCTTGAGCTTCCGAATCAACCTGCTATCAGATGGCACGTCGCCATACATTGACTCCGGGATAGAGCCAATGAAGGAGAATTTTGATGCATCTGAGACGATGATCTTCTTGGTATGGAAAGTACCAACAGAAGACATCGATGCACCATCAGCAGTAGGAACATCAAATCTGTCCATGGCCCATTTTGTAATCAGGATCCAGAATCGGGCCAACGAGACCTCAGAATGTCGGGATGAAGAGGAGAGGCTTTGAATAAGTTGTTGCCATAGGACAAACCCATAGTCCAGGTTAATCCCATTGTAAACCCCATACATGATGGTGAGGAAGAGACGACTTGCACCATCTGATCCTGAACTTCTCTCCGACAAGCCCTTGAAAAGGACTGTAAATAGACCGTTGCACTGTGGCGGCAGGCATGACTTTTTGAATCTTGCGACAGAGGTAAGAACTTCTGTGTATCCCATGTTGTAAAACATGTTATACAGATGACCAATCTGTATCGACTCTGGATGAATTCTTGAAGGGTCAACAGCAAACCCTAGCAAGGTGTAGAAACGTGGGCGAGAGATGGAGGTTTTGTGTTCTCCAATCTCGAAGAACACCCGGTCGACGGCCTTGTCGTAGTATGCAGTCGCGTAGACCTGCGATAGGGCCACCATCGGCACCGATTCGATTCTGGAAAGAGCCGGAACAAGTTGGGAATACTTCAAACACTCTATGACCGGCGACATATAGGAGTTGTACGCCAGTGGGTTAAGATCAATGACCAGACATTGTTGTGGGCGAATGGGAAGGATCTGTGAGGTAGCATGAACAAAAGAGGAATCAGCCATTGTTGTAGGTATGAAGAAGATGATGAATAGGAAACTGTTTGGGAGTATTTGCGTTTTGGAAATTTTGAAGGTGGTAAAGAGGTAAAAGGTGGTGTAGAGGGCTATTTATAGTGGGTGATAGGAGAGAGAAAAATCGTTTCAAATATCTTATGGAAATTTGAACCGGGTTATTGAGTGACAGATGGATGACAGTTGGGGCGTGCAATGATCACGTAGGAGAGAGAGTGTCAGGTTCCTAGGATCACGCCGCCCAACAAGCGCCGTTTCATGGGGACAAGCCGTTACTATTTCCACACGCGCATTTAATGTCACAGGACAAGAGAGAACTTAAGGTTTTAAAAGTGGATTCCCGTTAAATTACGATCAACCATTTATTAAGAAATGTTGAAAGGCTTCTTTTAATTAGGCTAAATAAGAGTGGCTTGAAAAGAAATAAAATCTCAGAAAGAAAAATAAGAACACGATCCCAAGGGAAGAAATGTTTTGGGTTTTAACAATTTCATAGGAATCACATAAAATTGGAGATTTTAATAGGGTACTTTCGTCAATTCTGTAGTGAAAACTTGAGCAATTTAATTGTTCACCGTCAATTCATTAGGTGTGGAATTTTGGGTTTCACTTAGTTCGTAGTGACACAATACTAAGATCATAAACACATATGTTGTGTAACCATAAACCTCAGTGGTAATTTCTGAGAGTCTCAAGGGTTACTATGATGGAATGAGTGTAGTGGAGAAGTAATGTGGAGATGGTGTAAGAGAGTGAAGTACCTCTGCTGCGAAAAGAAGGACCAAGCAGGAAACTCTTAACTCATGTGAGAAAAGAGTGAGGTAGCTCACGATTAGAATAAATGAGTTGGCCTTATTGGGAAGACAAGGTTTGTGTATACCAGGTCATGAGGGCCATTATTCAAAATCTTATGAGGCTTGAGACACATACAGCAGCATGCTTCTAGGGACACTTAGGTATTTCATCAAATTTATCCCCATAAACGAACATGAACACACAAGAAATGAAATAA